GGTACCTTCCCCTCTTTCATACATTTATTAAACAAAAATACCAACCACTCCAACACTATATCCCTCCCCTGCTTTTAACATTTCTGTCATGATCCCGTCAGTTCCAGCTGCTTTACCCCCTTTCATTCTACGTTATGCCTATCACTCTCTTATTTACCCCTATCTCACCTATGGAATTTGTGCATGGGGCTCAACAACAATTAACCATCTCAGACCACTAATTACCCAACAAAAGGCTGCAGTTAGAATGATAACAAATTCTCACTACAGGCAACACACTCCACCAATATTCAAAACAAACACTCAACCTACGTCACCATAACAAAACATCCATGAACTTATTATTCACCTATTACATACATAGAACACTTAACCTGATATTAACCCTCTCCCTCAAACATCTCCTTGCCAACCTCAACAGGAACACATGACGCATAGACACAAGGCACAGTCACGTCTTTGATGTTCCTCGTGTCCATCTCACGCTATGCAAAAATCTCAATGCACATAAAAGGCCCTAAAATCTGGAATTCATTACCTGTAAATATAAAAGAAACACTACCTGTTTATAAATTCAAGTCTCTTCTCAAAGTTCACTTACTCACTCAAAACCAAATAAATACTGAATAACTGAACCTTATAAATTGTATATCCAAAATGTTCCTCACAATTATATCACATAAATGTTAAACCTAGGACCCAATCTAACTTTGTTATTTTTTTAAATACACTACCTAACAGAATACTCCATTCTACTGAATGAACAGCAATGCATGCAACCATATGACCTGTCTTTGTAATACTCATTTGTGCTTTATAGTTATCTGTTTACAATAATGTCTTATCACTGATTTCATCATTGCTTAGTTAATCTTAAGTTAATTTTAAGCCAGCCCGTAATGCTATGCATATAAGTGGCTTTGGCATGCTGCTCTTACCTGTATTTTTTTTGTACCTCTGTATGTATGCTAAAATTTCTAAATAAATAAATAAATAACACACATCTCACACTCACATCCTGTTCTTCTTCACTCCTAAAAGATGGTATACCTCCCTGGCCAGTGCATGAAATTACCGCTTCCCTTTCTTCGTCGACATTTAAAACTTCCTCAAAATATTCTCACCATCTACCCAAAACCTCCATCTCCCCATCTACTAACTCCCCTACTCTGTTTTTAACTGACAAATCCATTTGTTCTCTAGGCTTTCTTAACTTGTTTAACTCACTCCAAAATTTTTTCTTATTTTCATTAAAATTTCTTGACAGAGCTTCTCCCACTCTATCATCTGCTCTCCCTTTGCACTCTCTCGCCACTCTCTTCACCTCTCTTTTACTCTCCATATACTCTACTCTTCTTATAACACTTCTGCTTTGTAAAAACCTCTCATAAGCAAACTTTTTCTCTTTTATCACACCCTTTACTTCATCATTCCACCAATCACTCCTCTTTCCTCCTGCACCCACCCTCCTATAACCACAAACTTCTGCCCCACATTCTAATTCTACTGCATTTTTAAAACTATTCCAACCCTCTTCAACCCCCCCACTACTCTTACTTGCACCAGCCCACCTTTCTGCCAATAGTTGCTTATATCTCACCTGAACTTCCTCCTCCCTTAGTTTATACACTTTCACCTCCCTCTTGCTTGTTGTTGCCATTTTCCTCTTTTTTTCCCATCTACCTCTTACTCTAACTGTAGCTACAACAAAATAATGATCCGATATATCAGTTGCCCCTCTATAAACGTGTACATCCTGGATCCTACCCATCAACCTTTTATCTACCAATACATAATCTAACAAACTACTTTCATTATGTGCTATACCTTGTATATTTATTTATCCTCTTCTTCATAAAATATGTATTATTTATTACCAAACCTCTTTCTACACATAGCTCAATTAAAGGCTCCCCATTTTCATTTACCCCTGGCACCCAAAATTTACCTACTACTCACTCCACAACATTTTTGCCCACTTTAGCATTGAAATCCCCAACCACCATTACTCTCACACTTGGTTCAAAACTCCCCATGCATTCACTCAACATTTCCCAAAATCTCTCTCTCTCCTCTACACTTCTATCTTCTCCAGGTGCATACACGCTTATTATAACCCACTTTTCACATCCAACCTTAATTTTACTCCACATAATCCTTGAATTAATACATTTATAGTCCCTCTTTTCCTGCCATAACTTATCCTTCAACATTATTGCTACTCCTTCTTTAGCTCTAACTCTATTTGAAACCCCCTGACCTAACCCCATTTACCCTCCCCCACAAAAAACCCTCCTACCCCTTCGCTTTGTTTCACTTAAACCCAGGACATCCAGTTTCTTCTCTTATAACTCCACAATCATCTCTTCTTATATTTGCACAACACCCACCACATTCAGGCTTCCCATTTTGACTTTTTCTTTTTTATTTTTTTTAGTAATTATTTCAGGAAAAGGGGGTTTCTAGCCCTTTGTTCCGGCATTTTATTATTTTTACAACCGCAGGCTTACGGAGGAAAGTTTCTTATTCCACTTCCCCCCAGGATATAAAAGGAAAAGAAATAAGCCAAGAACTATTAAGAAAAAAATCAAAGAAAACTAGATATGTGTAAAAAAACTGTCATGTATTGGTAGTGTGCCTAAGTTAAGTAAAGTAGCAAGACATCCCTTAATCTTGCTATTTATGAACAGAAAAAAGACACCAGCAATCCTACCTTCATGTAAAACAATTACAGCTTTCGTTTCACACTCATGGCAGGATGGAGACCACCCCCCTGGGTGGGGGTTTTCTCTTGCTAATTTCTCTTATATTACTATTACTCCATTTGAAAGGTCACCCATCACTAATCTTGCATCAGGGGCCCTGTAGTGTGCGGATTATGATTTGCCGGAAAAACAGGGTTTGGGTTAAATACTTTTAAATTTAAACCTATAAATAAAACCTTTTCTGCTACATTTTCCTCATTTTCTCACTGCTTTCTTCTCCCCTGGCTTGCGCTGTATAATGATGAATTTGGTGAAAAATGAGAAATTTTTAAATTATGCTACCGAAATTGGCCGGATTTCTGAGGGAAGGATAACTGATTGCCGGATTAGTGAAGCCGATGATACATTTAACCTCAAAAGTGGGCATAAAAAATTGCACTTTGGGTCACGTTTTTGAATTAATAGGGGGTGTGTGGACCAGGTGTTTTCATGAAAAATATAAGGGGAACAGTATTTAGATAAGGCTAAAGAGGGCTTTTGGGATTTTGGGGTTGGAAAAGGGGTATGACGGGTGGGTAGGGGGGCAAGTGGGGAGGGGCAAGTGTATGGTTGGAGGTAGGGTTCTGAAAGCAGGAAAGAGTTTTTTTAAAAGAGGGAAATGAGGCCAAATTAGAGTATGTAGGAAAAAGGGAAAATTTTTTTCCCAGTAAAAGAGGCCTTAGACAAGGAATTTTGATTTTACCCTGGGTTTTTTTAAATATTTTATGTGGGGTTGTAAGAGAATAAATTGGAGGGTTGGCAAGAGGTGTGGATTAAAAAAAAAAAGAATAACACAAATGGGAGTTGTCACAGCTGCTCTTGCTGAAAGAACTGGCTCTTGGGGGATTTGAAGAGAAGTTGCGAGATTGGGGATGAAATTTTGGGAAGGGGGTGCAAAAAAGAAAATTAAAGGGAATACAGGAAAGAGAAGGTTTGAGGAAACAAAAAGTTAGGTGATAAAGATTGAATATCAGATTTTGGGGGGAAGAGTTTTGGGGGAGGAATTATTCAAATTTGGGAGTGGACTGCAGCGGGGGGTCATAAAAGATAGGTGAATATAGAATTGAGAGGGAAAAAGTGAGTGGTGCACTTAGGAGTAGTGGAGACAAAGAACTTGTCCCTTGGGGGCAAAAAGGGGGTGTAGAGAGTATAGTTTTTTCCAATGCTCTTATTGGGTGTGAAACTGGGTGATGAATGTTTCAGCGAGGGGAAGGCTGGGGGCGTGGAGATGTCATGTTGAGGGGAAAGTTTGGGGTGAATTAAAAAGCAAGAAATTTGTAGTTTGGGGAAATTAGGAGGGGGTGCGGGATTACCAAAACGTTGTCCAAGGGGGAGGAAGGGTTGTTAGGGGTTCACTGTAAGAGAATGGAGGGGAAAAGAATACTTCAAAAGTGTATCAGTCTGTGTGGAAGGAAGGCGGGGGGAGGGGTCCCAGAAAAAGGTTGGAAGAGGGGGAAAAAGGGGGTTTGTGTGCGAGGGGCTTGGACTTCCAGCAGGCATGCGTGAGCGTGTTTGATAGGAGTGAATGGAGACAAATGGTTTTTAATACTTGACGTGCTGTTGGAGTGTGAGCAAAGTAACATTTATGAAGGGGTTCAGGGAAACCGGCAGACCGGACTTGAGTCCTGGAGATGGGAAGTACAGTGCCTGCACTCTGAATGAGGGGTGTTAATGTTGCAGTTTAAAAACTGTAGTGTAAAGCACCCTTCTGGCAAGACAGTGATGGAGTGAATGATGGTGAAAGTTTTTCTTTTTCGGGCCACCCTGCCTTGGTGGGAATCGGCCAGTGTGATAATAAAAATAAAAAAAAAAATCCATGAAACTTCCTCCATAACGTAATAATTTTTAGCATTTGATTTGATGTAACGATAATTTATGGAGAATAAAATTTTCTTCAGGACTATTTGATTTGTTAATTGTTTCTGCATGCACACAAGTGGTGTTCATTCAACTTGAGAAATTATTTATTTTTGAGAGCTGAGATCCTGGATGTATAGTGTACTTTGTACAGGTACTATATGCATTTTTCAGATTTCTGTAAGCTGTACAGTAATAATGTATCTTTACCTAAAAATATTATGGTAATAGCACTGAATAAAGTAGAACATTTTCTGTAAAACTGATTTGTAGCTTTGGTAAATTATTGTCATATGATTTGAATTTTTAAAATATCCACTGCATCTTCATTTTTTCATTGCCATTTTGTTGTGACTGTTATGAATTATAATTTGACTTATTAATTTGTCTCATTCTTAGGGCGCGTACACACCACGACATGTTTACACTCAGCGGGATGTGATGGATATTGTGGAGTATGCTAGATATCGTGGTATCAGAGTTATTCCTGAATTCGACACCCCAGGGCATACCCAAGGCTTTGGCAAGGCCTTCCCACGTTAGTATTCTTGCATACTTCTCTTGTAATTCTATACATGTATTTGTATGAATACACATCAGGATGAAATATTCAATAGAAAAAAGTTAAAACATTATTTTTATAGGAAAAAATCCATTACTAAACACCATTATATTATATAACAGCCAGCCAAGTTGATCATATCTTAACATTGTACCCATGTTGTCTGCTCATATAGGTTTAATACTATAATACCAAGTTATTCAGTTCATCTTTTGAATTGTAAATCATCTTTTTTATTAAAACAGTAATAAAAAATTAAGAAATACTGTATATATTTAAAATAAATCATTCTTATATAATGCAACTTCCCTACATTATTAGTATGTATTATCATTACATTCTAAAACAGTGTAATCTAAAGTCCATTTATGAAAGGTTTAGAGATAATTGTGATTAAGAAGATGCATTTGTTAACAGACTTGTTGACGCCATGTTATGGTGATGGTGAAACACCAGGCACCCCCAAATTCCCGTACCATGCTGCCTATGAGAACCTTGACCCTACCAACCCTCAGGTGAGTCTCAAGTAACTTACTTCCATACAGAAGTGGACTGGGTCTTAAAACTGGCCCAGGCATCTAACAGACTGCAGGGCCAGATGTCTGTTTTCACTGCTTGGCTAAGGTGCATTCCATTTTCATTTCAATCTTTGTGCAGTGTCAGTGACTTCAGTTTATCGTGACTTTTTTCAGATTTTTTTTTTTTTACCCAGCCCAGTGGCCCACCGGGGATTGCCCAAATGACTGTATGGCCAGTCTACCTTTGCTGCTAGGTTAGGCTAGGTAAGATTCGTCAGGAAACAGGACAGTTAGTTTCCAGATACGGGTCTTAGTCATATAATGACCCACTACTGGAGCTTTTGGTCATCTGACCAAGGCCTTCTGTTGACTCACCAGTATACCCCTTTAAAAATTAAGGTTTTAATATATATTACTGCCTGGTGAATCACCTTAAACACACTGAACAATATAACTAAAATATGTATACTGAAAAGACTAGTTATAACATACGTAGCCACTACAATTATTTAATAGTACAGTGGACCCCCGGTTAACGAACTTTTTTCATTCCAGTAGTATGTTCAGGTGCCAGTACTGACCGAATTTTTTCCCATAAGGAATATTGTGAAGTAGATTAGTCCATTTCAGACCCCCAAACATACACGTACAAACGCACTTACATAAATACACTTACATAATTGGTCGCATTTGGAGGTGATCGTTAAGCGGGGGTCCACTGTACTCTGTTGTTGTTGCCGCCAAGGGATCATGAAGTTGTTAGTCTCCATTCATAAAAAATTGCTTTACATATATTAATGCTCATAGATGTGAAGATAACTAAGCTGTACTACAGTAACTCAAGGTGCTGGATTTGACTTCTGGAGTGGTGGGGATGTTGCACTTCAGGTGGTCATTTGAATTATGTCCCTGCACTTCTTTAAGACAGCTATTGAATGAATGATAGTGAATATGTACTTTGAGGGCATCTTGCTTTGTAAACAAAAAATATTCATTGCATATTGAATAGTACTGTATGCACAAGAATATATAAATAAAAACTGCATTATCTGGTTAAAAGACTCTGTATATATATACTGTATCATATTGTTAACTGGTGGTGTCCAGTAATTTGTGGCTTCCAGTGAGTAACTACTCATCCCTTGTATGTGTAACAATTATTCTTCTTTCAACAAACCAGCCATATCCCACCAAGGCAGGGTGGCCCAAAAAGAAAAACAAAAGCTTCTCTTTTTAAATTTAGTAATTTATACAGGAGAAGGGATTACTAGCCCCTTGCCCATGTGTAACAATTACTATCATAAATTACAGGTTTCACTGTATAATATAATCTCTTAGTATATATGAAGATTGGTAAAATAGTAAGCATGCATTTTTATATCTTGTTATAGTTGCATGGTTCAACAGATAAACAGAATCTCTTAAATTATCTTTCACTTATTTTATAACTTTTAATATTTTCTCTATACAGGTGTATGACTTCCTCAAGGCCTTCATGGTGGACCTGAAACATACCTTTGTTGATGGGTACATCCACTTAGGGCTTGATGAGGTGAGATATCATCTTTCATTCTCCAGCCTCATGTAGTACTCATAATACCTGCTTATGGCCATACTCCTCAAGGGCATTCTGCCTGAAGAGAGGGAGCCAGCAGAGTTATAAATACCTGTTCTGTACACTATAATAGGCAAGATCTAGGTTCAGTATTATGTTCTCTAGTTTAGTTCTTAATGTATAGTTTACTGTGTTTCTTAAAGTGATGATCATAATACAAATAGTATTCTACAGGTCTTCTTGTCCTGCTGGTCAAGCTCTCCAGTTGTCCGAGCCTTCATGGCTCGCAACAATTATACGGAAGTGCGGCAAGTAGAGAAGCACTATGTTGAGAAGGTTCTTGAGTTGGCTGACCTTACACCCATTAATTATGTCACCTGGCAGGACCCTGCTGAGCGCGGCATACAAGTGAGTTATTACATATGACATTTTATCAATGGTTTTTGGTTATGAAACATAGCCTCTCCTCACTTAACGATGTACTCATTTACTGACAACTCAGACTTACGACGGGCTCTGACCAGTATGCATACCTAAATAATGCATATTAGAGCTGATTTTTTCTGTTCTGTTTATTACAATATATAGTACACTACTGTATAAACATTTAAAAATATACTAAAAATGTTATAAATGGTGCAAAGGTGACATTAAAACAATACCAAAGATGGTTGACACAAACCCACTACCATTATAGTATGCTCCTTGCTTAGCAATGAATTCATTTACTGATGAGGTCTTAGAAATGGAACTCTGTCGTTAAGTGAGGAGAGGCTGCACAGAAAATGTAGTATATATGCATTTAATTAACCAGTAACATATTTTTATACTTTATCTGCAGAGATTACCTAATGAACTGCTGTACACAGGGGTGTTGAGTGTCCCCTTTAATTAGCTATGAATCTTTACTCTCATTAGAAGGATGTCTGATATTTCTGGTTCAGACACATGTGTTAAGATGAATGGGCATTCTGGCTGCACTAATTAAAGTCCCTGCTTGTAATACGGTAATATGGTAACTGTTTTTAAAGAATAAATGACAGTTTAATTTATTTGTATCCGTACTAATATAAAATATATCTTGAAGTAGTACATAGTATTTTTTAGTTCTAAGTGCAGTAAATACAATAGGGTAACTTCTTATACAGGTAGGCTTAATAATATGTACATAATTTAATTTATTTGGAGAGATGGAAGGAGTAACATGGATCCTTGCTTGAGCTGGTTTCCTCTGACCTTTACTCTCTTTAAGATGCAGTAATACTAAAAATTAATGTGCCCCACAGAATAGTTTCTCAAATACTGTACAGTACAACATCAGTGGCCACTTTATTAGGTACACCTGCTCATTAATGCAGATATCTCATCAGCCTGTCACGTGGCAGCGCCTCAATGCCTAGAAGCATGCAGACATGGAAAGATGTCATCTAAGTGACTTTGACTATGGAATGACTGTTGGTGTCAGATGAGGTGGTTTGAGTATCCCAGAAACACTGCTGATCTCTTGGGATTTTCACACACAACAGACAAGAGAGATACATGATAATATACACTTCAAAGGTCCTGGAAGGATTGGTGCCATACCTGCACACGAAAATCACTCCCTATGAAAGCAAAAGACTCGGCAGGAGATGCAACATTTCCCCGATGAAAAGCAGGGGCACCACAAGTACATTGAGAGACAACACAATAAGCGTCCGGGGCCCAAGACTGTTCAACTGCCTCCCAGCATACATAAGGGGATTACCAATAGACCCCTGGCTGTCCTCAAGAAGGCACTGGACAGGCACCTAAAGTCAGTACCTGACCAACCTGGCTGTGGTTCATATGTCAGTTTGCGTGCGGCCGGCAGTAACAGCCTGGTTGATCAGACCATGATCCACCATGAGGCCTGGTATCAGACCGAGCCACAGGGGCATTGACCCCTGAAACCCTCTCCAGGTAAACAATATCTGGAGTTTACAGAGAATAGTGAGAAAAACACAAAACATTCATTGAGTGGCAGTTGTGTGAGTGAAGAATGTCTTGTAACGAAAGAGGTCAGAAGAGAATGGCCAGACTGGTTCAAGCTGACAGAATGGTGATAGTAACTCAGATAACTATGCATTACAAAAGTGGTATGCAGGCCAGCATCTCTGAATGCACACCACATAGAACCTCAAAGTGCATGGCTAGAGCAGCAAAAGACCACACAGGTTTCACTCCTGTCAACAAAGAACAGGAAGCTGAGGCTAGAGGGGGCACACAGGCTCTCCAGAACAGGACAGTTGAAGATTGGAATAACGTTGCCTAGTCTGATGAATTTTGATTTCTACTGTGATCAGAATTTGGCATGAATAATGTGAATCCCGCCTGCCTGTGCAGCCAACAAATCTACAGCAGCTGCTTCGTGCAATCATGTCTAGTGTGAACTAGAATCTCTAAGGAATGTTTTCAACACCTTGTTGACTCTATTCTTTAGAATTCAGGCTGTTCTTGGGGCAAAGGACCACCCTACTCAGTATTAGAAAGGTGTACTTAACAAAACAGCCACTAAGTATACATTACAGTTTACTGTATAAGAGGAATATGGAAGGGAGTAAATGTAGCCAGAAATGTTAGTCATTCATAACCTTCCTGTACCTACATTAGATTTACCCTCCCACCCCTCCAGAAATATTAAATCATTATCATATATACAATAGGACCCCTGTATCTGCTGGGGATACATTCCAAGGCTTACCATGGATACCCAAAATTGCGGATAGTAGCAAATCCTATATATAAGTAGTTTTTCATTTACATACATACCTATGATAAAGTTTAATTGATAAATTATGCACAGTAAGTCGAGAATTAGCATTTTTTCACTGATGGAAGGAACTTCATGGCTTCTCTTAGTCTTTGAAAAACTGCCACCATCACTACTTTTGCACTATGGGGCAATTATTAAACAGAATTAAGGGTTAATTTTAGGCTGGGTTACACTGTGGATAACTGATACCATGGAAACCGGACCTGCAAACATGGCGGTCCTGCTGTAGTTATGTACAGAAAAATCTCTTGTATATATATTGTAAGGAATGCAAAGGGAAGTGACAGAACACAGTACAGTACAGTGGTACCTTGAGTTTCGAACAGCTCCCAACTTGAACAATTATATAAATGTATTTTTGTAAGTGTTTTTGTAAGTGTATTTTTGAGGGTCTGAAACGGACTAATCTAATTTACATTATTCCTTATGGGAACAAATTCGTTTGGTATCAGCACTTGAACAGCCTTCTGGAATGAATTAAGTTCGTAACTCAAGGTACCACTATATAATTTCTTATGCATTCAGTTTGACCAGTTATGGTGCTTGTTCATCAGGTAAATGTCTCCTGTCATGGGTCTTTGCCAGATAATAACCTGCTCATTGATTAAATAACTGCTGGCATACTGGTGCTACATACTGTACCCACTGTGAAGCATCAGCTGCCCCTTCAGAACTACTGTACATTTTCCACTCCCATTAATAAGCAGCATACAACAGTCTTCTAGGATACAGTACCTGTAGAGTATTGTATTATAAAGCCATTTTTTATGACTTTTCTCATCTCATTTTGTGATTAATTTAGCAAGAAATATGTTGTAATATGCAACAAAAATTAATCTGAATCATACTACAAATATTAGACAATTTGATACACCTAGTATTCTTATCAAAAGTAATTTATAAGAAGAAATTTATGAGGGTATTCTGCTGTGCAGCCTTTCAAACACTGTAACACAGCAGTACATGTATTGAATTATTCTATTTGGTTACAGGAACAATGTCATAACTTTGCCTATCATCTTTTTTTAACTGATAAAGGTGAAGAAGCATCACTAATTTTGCCCTTTAAATTTCTTTCGTACTATAGCTCACTTTTCCAATATGTTTGCTTCCCTTTCTATTCTTGTTTCTTGAAGTGACTCATGCAAAACAGAAGGCTGTGTTTTCAGTCCACTAGGCCTTCAGGTTTTTCATGTCTAACCCATTTTTTTCCACATAAAATTTATTGTGATGAATGGTTTGAAAAACCGACAAGTTGAAGATTGAGACACTTATGCAACATATGGGAACCTTTATTCAGGAAACGTTTCACCACACAGTGGCTTCATCAGTCCCATACAAAGTAGAAAGGTGTAAGGAGAGGAGGAGTTTGAGGTAATTAGTCCCTCAGCCTGGAGTTGATGTGTTCAGTCCATCAATCTTGTAGAATGTACGGCATAGGGCTGTAGATGTGGCTTATATACTGTAGTCAGGTGAGGCGAAGCAGGAGGAGGTGGGGTCATAGTGGTACCATCCACTAGTTGAAGTAGGTCTTTGTTCAAAGGTTGGACAAATGTTGTAGAATTCTTTGTAAGAAGATCCCATGATGCTGCAGTGTCTGACAGTTGTGATGAATGTTTTGAAAAACCGACAAGTTGAAGATTGAGACACTTATGCAAAGGTTATGTAAAGGTTCCCATAAAGGTTATATAAAGGTTCCCATATGTTGCATAAGTGTCTCAATCTTTAACTTGTCAGTTTTTCAAACCATTCATCACAACTGTCAACACTGCAGCATCAGGGGATCTTGTTACAAAGAATTCTTCAACACTTGTTCAACCTTTGAACGAAGACCTACTTCGACTAGTGGATGATACCACTATGACCCCACCTCCTCCTGCTTCGCCTCACCTGACTACAGAATATAAGCCACGTCTACAGCCCTATGCTGTACATTCTACAAGATTGATGGACTGAACACATCGACTCCAGGCTGAGGGACTGATTACCTCAAACTCCTCCTCTCCTTACACCTTTCTGCTTTGTACTGAACTGATGAAGCCACTGTGTGGCGAAACGTTTCCTGAATAAAGGTTCCCATATGTCGCATGTCTCAATCTTCATAAAATTGATTATTAACTTTTTGCTAAAAATAAAAATTTCACAAACTTCCTCCTCAAGTGCCTGAAAATTGGATGGAGATAATTGTTGGTTCGTATACACTTAAGCTGTGTGCCTGACAGTGGACCCCGAATTACCTCCAAATGCGACCATTTATGTACCTTTTTACTTTGTAACTGATGAAGACTGTTTGGGGTTCTGAATAAGGTCCATATTCCATACTCATTCAAATTATTCCTTTTGGTAAAATAAAATTTCACCTTCATCCTCAAGTGCACTTAAAATTGATGGAGAAAATTGTTGTTCGTTACACTTAAGCTGTGTGCCTGTATTGTCTAATAGTTGATAAGTTTCAGAATTAAAAGTAATGAATATAGTTTGGTATTTATAAAGTTGAGACTTTCCACTGATATTTCCTTGTTCATTTCCTTTAGATGGCCAACACAAGTGTAGTGCAGGTATGGAAGGATGTTTCCCTCTCCCCATCAAAGATGCGAGGATGGCGAGATTATGTGCACGACCTCACACAAGCTGGTCATCAGGTCATTCTCTCCTCCTGCTGGTACATCAATTACATAACCTATGGCCAGGATTGGAGAAACTTCTATAACTGCGATCCCACTGATTTTCAAGGTTGTATGATAATTTTGACATTTTTTATGCTTTTATTTATCGCTACCTCAGAAAAAATGTTACAGATTTATTTTTTTAAAAATATAAGCTCAAGTACTCTGTTTGGTGTCCATGTAGTGTCTTATGCTGGTCTTTTCTTTCTATCCCATTATCACATATGATGAGAGATAAATCTTACAAACTTTCAACTTATACTTGCTTTCAAACTGTGCTGTATAACTCTTATGAATGTAGTGCATTGCATAAGTATAACATGTCTTCCTCTGAAAGTATTGGGTGGAATCTTTCAGATCCTTGCTGAGTGTGTGATCTTGGGCTTGGTTGTGTCTTGGGAGAAATTTGACCTTTATTATAACTTGGCCAACTTGCAAATTTACCAATTGTCACAAAGAATTTCCATACTTATCATTCCTTCCAGGACACATTTGCTTTCTTCTGGGTGCAGTACATATCTCTATAGGATAGGCACTTTTCAGATTAATTTTTCTTTCATCAACCATTTTTCTTCCATGTAACCCCTTCTCTGGGTACATGGGTGGACCATTAGTTCAGGCATCTCTCCACTCTGGACCTGTTGACTCAGGTGCAGCACACACTGCTAGTCAACCACCCATTAACTGGAAAGGGACTTTGTTCTGGCTTTCTCCAAGTTCTGTTCCTAGAGGACATGATACAGTATTCACACTTTTCTTTTTCTCCCTACCTATAGCCTACTTCCAGCTGGGCAGCATGCATGGTATTGACCCAGCTGTGCACTGGGCACTCCCAGATCACAGCCTAACTCTACTACCAGAACCTCACACTTTCTACCAGCGGTGTTTTCCTGCTGCCTTGTGCTGTCAGCTAATGTTTCCTCCACTACCCTCACTTTTTCTAGCCTTTCTTTTCACTTAGAATGCAAAATTGGTACCTTCCCTATCATCACATGGGTATCGACTGAGAGGTTTATCAGTGAATGCTGGGATATATGTATTAAATTGTGCCTGTGTTCTACAGGCAGGGTGGGTGAGCTATACAAAATGCCTCTGTGTACAAGGATCCAGGACTCAAGCAGTATGATTCATAAAACTGTGTGAGCTGTTTCAACTCGTGATCTCAACACCAACCACTTTTATCTAACAATGATATTTTTTGGCTACAGAAACTGTACCAGAGCATTAATATTCACCTGTATCTCATTATCCACTAGACATTTTGAAAAACTTGTTAACTTACCGTTTGACTCCAGTGTAGTAATAGTTTGCAATAAAAGCATCTCAGCTCTAATAAAATATGGAGATACATCAAAGAAAATGAAGAAAATGTATTCTCTGAAATATTATATGATTATACAACTAATCAAAAATGGGTTTATTGGTACCTTGTGATTACCTATTTTAATTGCACAGTAATATGGTTACAGAGGTGGTCAAACTATATATACAGTTTTAGCATATTTTTTTCAGTATAAAACATTGGGTACTGACTCATGTATGAAAGGCAAATCAACAAATGGTTCAGGTTTTTGAAACATGATATTGATTAATATTAAGATGTTAAGATGTTATTTTTATATAGCCGGACTTGAGTCTTGGAAATGGGAAGTACAATGCCTGCACTCTAAAGCAGGGGTTTGGGATATTAGCAGTTTGGAGGGATATGTCTCATCTTTATAGATATATGCTTCTAAGCTGTTGTGTTCTGAGCACCTCTGCAAAAACAGTGATTGTGTGTGAGTGAGGTGAAAGTGTTGAATGATGATGAAAGTATTTTCTTTTTGGGGATTTTCTTTCTTTTTTGGGTCACCCTGCCTGGTGGGAGACGGCCGACTTGTTAAAAAAAAAAAAAAGATGTTTTGGAACGTTCCATGTACGTACAATATATATACTCATGGCAATCACATAATAGCATGTTGATTTGGGCCCTAAAGACTGAACTGAAATTATTCTAATGTGGTATGTACTTTCTTATTATTTAATTTACAGTAAGCTACAGAGCATAACCAGTGTAATATTACATGTACTAATTTAACAGGATAGAATAAAGGTCTCAAAATTTGAAACAGTGTAATTAAATCACTGATATTAAGCAGGAAGAGATATTACATATTATACATTAAGAAAGCAGAAATGTGGAACTTTTTTTTTTTGTCACCCTTAGGCACAGAGGAACAGAAGGCACTGGTACTTGGTGGGGAGGCAGCTATGTGGGGAGAATATGTAGATGCCACCAACATCATGCCTCGCCTTTGGCCACGTGCCTCGGCAGCAGCAGAACGGCTGTGGTCCGCCCCATTGAGTGAAGCACCCTCTGTCGACACTGCTGCCTACAGGCTTGACCAGCATCGCTGTAGGATGCTTAGGTACGAAGTAGTGGCTTATTTCATGTAACTGAACATAGAGTTATGGAGTGTTGTTAATTATTTAGTCAGTGCTTAAGAGAGAAAATATACTATACTGTACATAAATGAAGCATAATTTGCCCCAAAATATCCTTCCTTTTGAATAGTCCAGGCAATGATTTGAAATGCTGTACTGTATACTACTGTTCCTAGTTTAAATTTTGTATATTTTAACTTTAGACATGTAACTTTAAACAAAAACTTTAAAAACTGAAACATTAAAAGAATACTTTTAATTTAATACAAGTTGTTTATTTTTTAAAGCAGTAAACAGACTAAATTTCTAAAGTAATATTACCAGTAACTTAGAAAGGATTTATATAAGTAATGACAAGGAAAATACATGTGACAAAGGTAAAGGAAAGAAAGGTATAGGAAATTCAGCCTGTTATAAATATGAGAGATTTTAAATGAATTGTTAACATTTGGGAATGTGTGAAGATACACACACATTTTACTAGAAATCATAATGTAAACTGAAAAAAGCAATTACTTTAAATGCTGTTATATTGCATTTCAGACGTGGTGTTCCTGCACAGCCAATCTTGAATGGATATTGTGGTGAGTGGGAAGTCCCTCAAGATGTCATGATGTCCACTCCTCCTCCAACCACAACTACCACGACCACCACCACAACCACCACTACAACTACACCACCTCCAACAACCACAACTCCTTCCACTACATCTACAACCACCACAACTACATTGCCTACTACCACCACCACAACAAGTGCTCCATCAACCTCAGAGCCAATGCCCCCACCTCTTTCAGAGCCAGCAGGGCATCAACAAACAGAAAATCAAAGTAGCCCAGGGGACATTCAGCAGCACCCAGCTGCTGCACACACAACACAAGTGACTCCAACAGCAACACATGCAGGTGTTACTGTCAATGAACCAGCTGAAGGTGTCCCAAGTGCGGAGGGTGCTGTTACGTTATGAAAGTAATCTTGGTTGACTTCTTGTCTTGTGCATTTTTTCTGTGGAATCTTTGTTGCTTTTGATTTTTTAAGAATTTACCAAATAAAAATGATTGATTTTCGTAGGGCTCAAAACAACAGTTTTCCATGTGGATTTTGTTGAGCCTCAAATACAGCATTGCTTGAGAGGAAATCCTACAGCTCTATTATATACAGTAGTTTCCTCCATTTACTGTGTGACATGGACAATACTAAATGTATTGCTGTCAATTAAAATTTATGTTTAATAATCTTCTAAATCCATTATTCACATGCAACTTTATTTTACAGTAAGATGGAAAGACAGTTTTGTCACTTGCACATAAATCTTGTACATTTAACCGGTTTGTGGCATCTTGGATGCATTAAGTTATTTATGTTAGAAGATTCTAAACCTGTAAATTTTAAAGGACTTAGATCTATCAAGAGAGTTCAGGCTTCTTCAGATATTGTGTGTGAGGGTTTTGAAATGCCAGTATGTCAGCTGTTTTCATTCCCCAAAAGAGGAAGCATCTTGTGGTGTTTTTTTCCTGAGATGCACTTCTATATAGTAATAATCGTGCTGTGATTAATAAATATGTATTCAAAGGTGCTACGTACAGTGCCTAAGTGTTAGTAATTTGAAGGACAACTAAGATTTTGCCTTCATATGCCATATACAAAACAAGTACAACAGAAAGTATTAACTGAAGACAAAGAAATCAATTTCATTAATTATCTGAATACACAAATATTTTTCTGAATATTTTAATTCGGCTAATTATGCGAAAGACTTTTTCAATGAACTGACATTTTTAGGCACTGACAAAGTGTGGCATATTTATTTTTATTTATGCTGTAAGTTGTGAATTATTTCACTTATGTCATGTATTACTGTATTCATTTCAAGAATCATTTAAAGTGGTGCATTATATTTCCCAAACATTACATCATTGTTTCTATTTGTATATAACTTAAAAAAAAAAAAGTCGTTTCCCAGCCATGTCCCTCCATACATACAACTTAAGGTACCATGTTCACCCATTGAAGAACTCACTTGTTATTTTTCACACTGTAAACTTATAATTCTCATTTTTATTCATTATTTAGCACAATAACACTTGCACACACAAAAACACTTTATCATTACTATATCACCTAACAATTCTGTGCTAGCATGTTACACTGTACAGTATAATGTTACTAATATAACTCATCATGCTGTACTCACATCACAGTGAGTACATCCTGTTAAACATTATCATACCCTCTCATACTACTTTCAAATAATTATGTTAGTGCTTAAACAGTGTTAAAATTAATGAAAACTGCAAACATATATTTTAGCAATAGATAGGTAATGCACATCTAGTTAATTTTCTAATTATTTAGAAAACTTTTGTAAAACACTATATTTTAATGAAATATTAATAAATGTGTCATTAATGCTGTTAAAAGACATTTAAACCATCTTTGTTTGTGATGAAGCCAAAATTAATGGCTGCTAGTTAATTAATATTAGTGAACAGCTTTGAAAACTATTAAGTGAACTGTGATATATATAGACTGAATTGTGAACCAAGGTTGAAACCAGTCTCTGTACCTTATCTGTGAGAAAGATATTTAATGTGTAATCCAGTACGATAATCCCTCATTTTAATGAACTAACAGAAAGGGAGTGCATGGCCGGTAATGGCAATTGTAACTGATAGAAATGAAATTGTTTTAACTGTTGTAATAATAATAATAATAATAATAATAGTAATAATAATAATGTACAGTATTTATTTCATGTGCTAAACCCATATGGGTCATACAGTGCTGTGGGATAGGGGTGTATATATTGTTGCAGGGGTCAAATCTCAACTCCTGGCTTTGTCTGTTTGCTAGCCTCTGTTGGGTTCACTCTCTCCTGGCTTCGAAAGCTCTATCATCCTTCTTAACGCTTTCTGTAGATCCTGCTTCTACCATTTCACCATCTAGAGCAGTAATGGGCAAACTACAGCATGCAGGCCACATGTGGCCTGCCAAGATCAAGTCATATACTCACGTTATTTGGGGACAAAATGTTAGCAAATTTGAAAAAAAGTTACCACACAATGTCAAATAACATTGTGGAACATTAACACGTTACCCCCAAATTTCTGAAAGTGTCCCATGCACTGAAAAGTTTGTCCACCCCTGATTTAGTGTTCCACTTCCTGACCACCCAGTAGCTGAAGAAATACTTCCAAATATCCCTGCAAATCATCTGTGTTTTCCATACCCCCGGCCGGGATTGAACCCGCGGTCATAGAGTCTCAGAACTCCAGCCCGTCGCGCTAGCCACTAGACCAGCTAGCCACAATAAGATTCATCCAACTAGGTATATTTCTACACCATAGGAAAGTTAGCACAGGCACCTCTGTGACCACAAATGCAAGTTTTTACAGACGAATCTCCAGCTAGCGTGGCCGTGAAGGGACTTGAGCTAGAGTCGTCACGGCCACGCTAGCTGAGATTCGCCCTGTAAAACTTGCATTTGGGGTCACAGAGGTGCCTGTGCTAACTTTCCTAGGGTGTAGAAATATCCCCTATTGGATGAATCTATTGTGGCTAGCTGGTCTAGGGGCTAGCGCGACTGGCGGAGTTTGAGACTCATGACCGCGGGTTCAAATCCCGCCGGGTAATGGTTTATTTGCAATCGTGTCATTACATTCTAAGTCATGTTGACGGCAGTGAAGGGATTGAGCTAAAAGTTCGTCACGGCCACGCTAGCTGGAATTCGTCTGTAAAAACTGCATTTGTGGTCACAGAGGTTGCCTTCTAACTTTCCTATGGTTAGAAAACCTATTTGTTTGAAGTCTTATTGTGGCTAGCTGGTCTAGTGGATAGCGCGACGGGCTGAGTATTGAGACCTATGACGCAGGTTCAATCCCGGCGGGGGTATGGTTTATTGCAATCGGTCATTACGATATCTAAGTCATTTGCGGAGGAAGACTTGATAGTTCGTCACGGCCAGCTAGCTGGAGATTCGTCGAAAAAATGTACTCTTTGGCACAGAGTGCCTGTGCTAACTATTCCTATTGTAGAAATATACCTACGTTGATAAATTCTATTGTGTCCTAGCTGGTCATGCAAGCGCGACGGCTGGAGTTTTGAGACTCTATGACCGCGGGTTCAATCCCGGCCGGGGGTATGGTTTATTTGCAATCGTGTCATTACGATTTCTTAAGTCATCTGTGTTTTCAACTTCCAGCTGTCCTACCACATTCCTGCTTCCCATCTCTGTCTATTCCTGTCCACCCTATCAGTACCCCTCATTATTTTGTATATCGTACTTATATCACTCTTAGTCTTTTTGTCCTCAAGTGCCATCAGGTTTAGCTCCTTTAGTTTATCCTCATAGCACATACCCGTTAGCTCTGGGACTAGTCTCACTGTGAACTTCTTCATTTTCTCTAGCTTCTTGACATGCTTCATCAAGTGAAGGTTCCGTACTGGCGCTGTATATTCCAATGTGGGCCTGATATATGCTGTGTATAGTATTATGAATGGATCCTTGCTTATGTTCCTGAAAACTATTCTTAGATTTACCAGATGAGCATTTGTTGCAGCAGTTATCCAGTTTATGTACACCTTTGACAATATGCTTTTCACAATTTTCATCCCAAGGTCCTTCTTCAGTGAAGTTTGCAGCCTTTGCCCTCCATACCTGTACTTTGCTTGGGGTCTTCTTTGCCTGTCCCCAATCTTCACAACTTTGTAGTTGCTGGAAATAAATTTCATTAGCTACTTGTCAGACCAAACCTTCAGCCTGTCTTGGTTCATTTGCAGTCTTTCCTGGTCCTCACCTGTTTATATTCTCCTCATTAGTTTCACATCATCTGCGAACAGGGATACCATTATTTCCTCAGTCATGTCATTCACATACACAATAAATAGTACCAATCCTAGGACTGATCCTTGTGGAACCCCACTCACCACTTATGTCCATTTCTGTGTGACTCGAGTGTGTGAAGGAAAAGGATGTGAAAGGGATAGGAGTTAGTGAAGGTGGAGGTTATAGTGTAAAATCAAAATTATATTGCAAGAGCTTAGTTTCCATTAAAAAATCAGAGTTAATCTGTGTTAACAAGGTCAGAGGAGTGTGTTAGGGCACTAGAGATGTCTGAAGTGAATTCATGTGCTCACTAGAAGCAGAACAATCTATTAAAATACAAATAACCCACACATAGAAGAGAGGAGCTTACGACGACGTTTCGGTCCGACTTGGACCATTTACAAAGTGACTTTGTAAATGGTCCAAGTCAGACCGAAACGTCGTCGTAAGCTCCTCTCTTCTATGTGCGGGTTATTTGTGTTTCGTTCCAGTCACGGTATTGTGCCTTTTTTTGTTATTAAAATACTGCCAACTGACAGTGTGACACAACAGTCCTTGCATAGTGGTGCCAGTCTAATCTCCACATGTTATCCCTGTGTGAGTTACATATTCATTTCTCAATTGTAAGAGTGCCATTTCCCAAACTTGGCAGCAATGGAAGATGGCCAGAATTCTAGTCAGGATTTGATGGAAAATAATTTGTTGCAGTCTAACTTGGACCAAAGTTGTTGCCAGCAGTTTTAGATTTGCAGACAGAGCACTCAATAAATAGCCAGAGGAAATTGGCAGGATGTGAATAGCTGACTTATCTGCTAAGTCTACTTGTTTATTGCCCTGAGCATCAGTGTCCAAGGACCCAGCAAAAAACTACTTTGTATTTACTAGAAATGTGACATAAAAGCTATATATGAAAGACAATAGGATGAGGGGATTAAAATTTCTGTATATCTTGTAACACACTTTGGGAGTCGGAAATAACAGCAAATGTGGACAAGGTCACAGTGCATATGACAGAGGTAAAAATTGCATATAACTTTGCTGTGAAAATACTGGCTGACTCTAGTAAACATCCTTGGAATATTCTTTCTGGAGAAACATGTCCATACCTGACACCATCAAGGAACTTAGAACCATCACTGTACATGGCTATAGCATGAGAATGAGAGTGAAAGTGTTCAAGAAAAAATAAGCATAAGATTGCAGGAGGCAAGTAAGCTTTCGGGCAAAGAAGAGGGGAGGAGTAAAGGTGAATCGTTAAAACTTCCCATGGAGAGAGGAAACAAATAAGATGCAGGGTGAATGTAAAGGGAAGGTAAATTAAGGGATGTCATCAGAGTGCAAATACAGAGGAAAAGGACACAGAAAATTAGGGCAATGATTAAATAAATTATACTTGCAAGTATCCATAATTGTTCTGTAGTCAAAGAATTGTGAAGGTCACAGATGTGGGCAAAATAATGGAGGCAATGAGTGTCACATTCTTACAAAGACTGAACTTTTGCCTCTATGTATAGGCTTTTGACTGGGAAAGATTGAAAGGCTCAGGGATGTAAACTTAGTAATATACGAGATCAAATTAAGAAGGAATAACGGGGGAGGCTGAGAAATATACATAGTTGATCTCCATAGTCAATTTTAGATAAGATTAGGGCTAAATGTAAGGAAAGAAAGATTTGTCTATCAGCCACCAAGAGAGATGGGGTAAAGCTTAAAGTTCATGTGGCTATGACAGGCAGCTTTTAAGAAGGCATGTGAGGCTTCCAGGACATTCAGTGGTCAAAGAGAAGACCGAGAAATTTGAGTGTGACTTGTTTAAGGACATGGGGACCATACAGGTAAAGAACTGTCTAAAGGTCAATGGGGCATCTCATGAAAGTTGTCTGTTTTGTTTTAGCAATAGAAAACTTACACATGAGAGCTGGCCCAGTTGGAAGCATAATCAAAAACACATGTGAGAGAGAAAGAGGCCATGATGAGTTGACAGTCGGCACCTGCACAAGCAATAGAAAAATTGTCCACATACAGAGATGATCAGATACATATATGAAGGGAGGAAAGAGGCAGTTATTAATGGTAAGTAGAAAAAGGGTGGCTCTAAGAACACACAAGCCATGAGGTATCCCTTCATTTTACACAGTCAGAGCTTACAACAGTGTTTAGATCTGACTTGGACTGATCAGATCAGCTGTGGAAGATATTGCCTTTATGTCTTCTATCCCACGAACAAGAAGAGCCAGAATTCAATGGAGAAATCAGCAACCAGGAACCGTCTAGGAGTCAGTGTTCAGAGTGAATCAGAACATGAAAGAAAATAGTCTCTCCCAGCACAGGGGATCACAAGGCACAAGAGCAGAACAGTAGTGAACCAGCCAGTATTGAGGTCAACAGCAGAATGATTATTTTACCCAAACTACAATAGACTCCTGGCTGTCTTCAAGAAGGCTCTGGACAGGCACCTAAAGTCAGTACCTGATGAGCCTGGCTGTGGTTCGTATGTCGGTTTACCGGTTTACGAGCAGCTAACAGTAACAGCCTGATTGATTAGGCCCTGATCCACCATGAGGCCTGGTCACAGATTGGGC